ATTGAGGACGAAGCATGCATGGTTTGCAGGGGTGGGTTGCGACTATGTGCGATCGCTCATCTTTGCATATCCATCTACTCTAGGCATGTGTGCATTGAAAAGGGGATCTAAGGCATGAGATGCTATCTCATCTGTATTCTCATCATCTTACTATCTATACAGTCCTTTTTGACGCCAATACTGTCTTGTTGTGACGCAAACACTCATCTAATCCTCCCAGCCTCGACATTCTCAAACACGGCTCCAAACACCTTCATCCAAGCCCTCTGTCTCTCGGCCACAACAGCACGTCCAGGTTGTTTGAATTCTCTGGCCAAATACTCCTTGACCTTTGCCCTGAGCACCTTGACCGCAAAGCATGTACGCCAAGAATTGACCTTGAAGCGCAAGCGATTGCCATCGATAACGCACACGCCGGCATAGAGATCGAACTTTGCGTCTCCGGCAAGCAGACAGAGCACAAATGGATCTACAGGCGCAGTCTCTTGGGCATTGGTGAAGCGAGAATTGGACTGCATGATGCTGTAGAAGGAAAGATAGGACGGCGGTGTCAGTGCAGGAGAGAGTTTGTTGACGCTCTGAGGATGCAGGGATAGGGATTGACTGTTGGCGACGTTGCGCCAGCCTTTGCCTTCGCGCACGGCGAGTTTGGGGTAGAAACTCCATGCTGTTACTGCATTGAGCAGGGCATCGTTGGCGTCAAAGGTGTTGTGTGAGGCGGGCACGGAAACGAAAGACCTGGGTCCCCTGCCGCTGTTGCGGACGCGCGAGAGAGCGGCGCGTTGACCAGACTCCAGAGACACAAAGCCTGCATCTGAGAGCGAAGCTAGGAGTTGTGATTTCAGGTCTTCGATGTTGCCGAGGTTGATGGGTGAGAGGAAGTTCTTGCGGCAGAATTGCTGCTCAGATATCCCTGGTGTGGTGCAGGCTTTTCGCCAGGCACAGTATGCATTGTAGGCTGTGAGTAAGTCTGAGTTGCCGCGCTTGAAGCCTAGTCGTACGGTGTCCGCTTGCTTTTTGGCTCCCATGGGTGCTACGAAGGGAGTCTTTGACGAAAGAGTCGCCGCAACACTCAGAGCAAAGTCAAGACATCCAAAGACGGATGACAGGAGGATAAGTTTGCCGAGTTGAGCGTCGAGTGGAAGTTTGGCGAGCTGGTTTCCCAGCGGTGTCAATTCTTCCGACGAAGTCAAAGCACCAACATCAATGAGTGCGTCGATGGCACGGCGAATGTTCTTCAACGAGGGAGGATCAAGCGCTTGGGACAATGCTTGCTCGATGTCGCCCAGCTTACAGATCTTTACGCGCATAACAAGATCTTGGAGCGACAGGCGTAGCATTTCTGGCGTCTGTTGCGGTGCCATAATCTCATCGTGCCTGTACTTGGTGAAGAGATGGAAGCAGACACCTTCTTGCACACGACCAGCGCGTCCGCGACGTTGCTTTGCGTTTGCACGAGAGATGAACGATTGAATCAGACGTGAAAGTTGTCGGCGCTCATCAAAGCGCATCTCCTTATGCTTTCCAGTATCGATCACAGCAGTTACATCAGGAATGGTGATACCAGTCTCAGCAATATTGGTAGCCAAAACGATCTTTCTCATACCAGGAGGAGGTATCTTGAAAGCTGCCTGTTGCTCCTCGCTGGAGAAAGTCGAGTGCAGAGGGTAAACCAGCCAGCCTTTCGAGAAGGCAGGATGTCCACCGAGGAAATCATTCAGTGACCTGATTTCTGCAAGACCGGGCAGGAACACCAAGATGGCCTGGCTAAATTGTGTATATGTTGGGTCGTAAGCAATCTTTTCCAAAAGCTTCACGATCAAAGTGTAGTCAATAGCGTATTCGTCGTATCCTGCAAGTGTCCTGACGGTCTTGGGACTATATCCAGTAAGTTGCTTGGCAGCTGCGATCGTTGCCTCTGAAGAACCTGCTTCAAGGTCATCCTCGTCTGCGTCAGCGGTCTTTGGTGAACCATCTTCGACAGTGTGTCCAGTCAACTCGATAGCGTCTTCGAGGTACTTGGCCGCGACCGGGAATGTACGACCAGGTACAGTGACAATTGGTGCATTGTCAAGATAGCTCGAGAATCGCTGAGCGTCAACTGTAGCACTCATCAGTACTACCTTTAGGTCTGGTCGACGAATCATTAGAGCTCTCAAAACAATCAACAAAAAGTCCGTATCGATGCTTCGCTCGTGAATCTCATCGATAACCAAATGCGTGACCTCGTCAAAGCCTTTGGCGGACTCCAGCATACGAAGCACGATACCAACAGTCGCATACACAAGACGAGTTTGTGCTGTTGTCATCGACTCCAAGCGAATGGCATAACCAACAAGCGAACGGGCAGTGCCGACCGCCTTTTGTCTTCACCCATCTCTTCGCTGACGCGCTGAGCCAATGAGATGGCCGAGATACGCCTGGGCTCTGTACAGTATATTTTGCAAGGTCGGCCAAGAGACAACTCGTGTTCGAGAATAAAGGCAGGCATCTGGGTACTTTTACCGCATCCAGTCTCACCACAGAGAATGGTGACCTGATTCTTCTCCACAGCATCGAGAGCGATGTCTCGGAACTGGAACATGGGAAGGGTCGATCTAGCCAAGAGCATCTCTTGGTATGCAGGGGTGGATGTCTTCCGCGCCCAAAGATCTCTAAGGACTTGAGACTCTTCGATTTTTGTGATTTTCTCAACCCTGTCGCCGACTGGGGTGGAGACGCCGCTCATTCCCTTGTTACGGTTCCTGAAGCCAGCGGTGAGGATAATATCCTCATCTCCATCATCTTCAGTCTGACCCTTGACCATTTCCCTCAGAGATTTGACTGTCTCGCGGTCGGCGATGTCACGTTTCTCTTGACGAGCGTCGACAAGCTCTTGCCAGAGATCCCTGAATGTCGGGGGTAGGCGCAACGCAGACTTCTCCTCTTTTGGAGAGTTTGAGAAGAGCAGGAACAGAGCGACTGTCGACACGTAGCCTTCGCTTTGGAGTGTTTCTGGACATGCGGTTTTGGTCATGGTAACGACTGTCCTTCGATCGCTTGACAGGACGTTGACGTCCGGTGTGAATGAGCCATCGATAATGTCCTGGTCTTTCGACCATTGAACAGTCACAGAGTGGCGGCTGTTGTACGTTGTGGCAGAGACCATCTTGTAAGAGACCTTGGCTCCCGAATCTTTTGATCGACAAGCCTCTTCAAAGGTTCTTCGAGGGCTGATGCCTGTGATCTTTCCAAAGTTACGGATTGTCAGGTTGGGGTCCGCATTGTCAGCTTGTCCCGCGGCAGCACCACTCGAGGCACCCTCGGTAGCCTCACCGAACATGCCCCCAAGCATTTCATCGTCTTCGCCCATCTCTTCCAGGAGTTGTTGTGCGGCCGCCTCGGCCTCGGCCATGACATTTTCCGTTGCACTCTCTCTCGGTGTATCGTTGGAAGCTTCGTCCGACTCTTTCTTCTCCTTGGCTCCACCTGCCAGGTTGAATCTTTTCCTTTCGGTTTGGTTTTGGTATATCTGATTTCTTTCTTCAATCCATTTCATATCGGCCAGACCTTTGTCGAATAGCACATCTGACTCGATACTCTTAAGTCTCTGCTGGAGTTTAGACTCTCCCGGTGTAGGCTTGTGTGGACTAGGCGTGATCTTTCCTCGTTGGGGTTTGGATTTCTTAGTTGAGTCGTTGACAAGAGACGGGTTGCGTTCGTAGAGGCGTAATTTCGTGCGGAGGTATGTGGATAGCATCTCATCGGGGTCGAGGTCGCTCTCGACATCGCTGACCTGAACATCATCGATAGGGGCAGGGGTGTCGATGAGTTGTTGAGTGAGATTGGAGGATGTAGTAGAGACAGCCTTCTTCGGTGTTTGTACTTCTGAAGGTTTCGATGGTGTGGCGGGCTCTGATGCATCGTTTTCTGGGGCAATCAGAAAAGGCTCGGTGTTGTGCAGAGTAAGAAATACAGGTGAAACAAGCTTACCTCCGTCGAATTGTACATTAGATAGTTGGGGCTTAGGCTTAACAGCATCATAATCAAGCAATTGACCAGGCTCACTGTGTAACGCAAGCCAGTCCAGGGCTTCTGAGAGACCCCAGATCAGGCCACCATTATCTTCAGACGGGGGGCTGACGAGGATGTACTGAAGCACTTTACGCACTTGATCCTCGCCAACATCCAGGTCAGCTAGAGTAATACTAAGTTGCCACACTTTGGAGAGCAATTCGTCTTGGGAAAGACGCTTATTTGCAGGAGTAGAGGATGGAGCAGACGTGGACGAAGTCTCATCTAAAGCAAGATCAAGGATCTGTTGCATCAATTCTTCTGGTAGCCATTCTCGTATGTTGAGCAGGTCGGCTTGACCACGCAAAACGCGTCGGTCTGTCTTTAAGCGAGAGACCTGCCGCGCTGATTCCTTGCGCACCTTTGGGCCTTGCTGCTCGATGAAGGATTGCAACTCTGACAACTCTAGTCGAGCCTCGAGCTCTTCCGGGCTCAGCTCATGCAGTTCTCTGTCTGCTGGGGTTTTGTTGTTGGTCGACGCCTGCTGTTCTTGACCCTGTCCTTGTTGACCGGGCTGCGGCGATTTTTCAGCAGCAGCAGGCGTAGACACGCTGGATTGTTTCTCGGAGGGCTCGTTGCTCGTGTCGGCGTCTTTCTTCTCGGGTTTTGGTTTACTGGCGATGGAGGTTGTGGCAAAGCCGCGAGCTGGATTGGAAGCGGCCTTCTTCTTGCCCTTCTTAGCCACCATGGTCGCGAGTCAAATGCAGAAGCGGAAAGAGAGTGAGGTTGTTGCGAGTGTTTTTGGAAGGAGCGTGTTTTTGGAAAGAATGATGCCCGCAATTGCATGTGACGACAGTCGACGCACGGACAATTCGGTGTCGAAGTGCAGGGCTTCGGTGTTGGAAGTCGCGAAAAACTGCCCATCGTTAAGTCCATCGCAACTGCCATTTGTATACAAGCAATTCAGCATATGAGTCTGCGGCGTTTTTGATAACGCATCGCACACCATGGCAGACGCTGAAGTCAATGGAGAGCAAACGCTGGACGCAGGTCGTCTGCGCCAGGTTGCCCTCTCCAGCTCCACCAAGAGGCGCTCTGCTGAGCTGCTCTCGCTGCACGACAAGATTGTGAGCAAAGGTGTGCTACCCGTGTGCTCTTTCCTCCTACTGGGTCACTTCTCTGACCGTCCAATATAGNAACATCCCATCGAACAAATACCCAACGTTCTCAACCTCCTCTTCGACACATACCCTCTCTACATCGACACCCAGTCACGACAAGCTGTGGAATTGTGCCTCGTCGCCATCTTCTCTACCCCCGACACCGAGCCTCATGTTTCCAACTTCATTGCTGCCGTCGAGATCGAAACCAAGAAGACCAGTCTGGCTCCTGCCAACGCCTTTGTCTTGATCCGCTGGTGCGCTCTGTTCCTCCAACAATTCGCCGTCCAAAAGTCTCTTTGGGATGCCTGGGGCCTCAAGATTGTCCAGGCCCTGGTACGCGCTACGTACACCTTCGAGAGCTCCAACCCTCGCCACAGTACCCACCAGACTGTCTTGCGCGTCACTCGCCGTGGTTTCAGAAAGCTCTTTAGCTCGGACCTTGGAGACGATGCCTTGAACCAATCGATCACCGCCCTCACCACAAAGGCTGCTACTCCGACTCCCCAGAATGCTCTGGTTCTTGGAATAATAGCTGGAGTCAGCGCCCATCTGTCTAAGCGTAGTGCCACATTTGAGACCAGAAAGTCTGACTACAATGCTTTCTACCTGCGCGAGTTGATTGGATCCCGAATTGTTCTGCCTCAATTCATTGCAAACTCTCTGGTCGATTACTTCACCTCGTTTGTTACTCTGGAAGACCTGAAGAAGGAGATCATTCCTGCCATTGAAAAGGCACTTTTGAGAGCCCCTGAGATTGTCCTGAATGACCTTGTCACTCCCATGATCGAAGCCTTGCCCAAAGAGCTGGATCTTTCCGAAATACTTGCAAACAACCTTCTGAAGCCTCTTGTTTCGAGCGCGAAATCCAGCAACGCCACCATCCGTGCAGGTGCTCTAAGGACTTTCGCTGCAGCTGCCCATCGTTCGCAGGATGACAAACTTATCGAGAAAGTCTTGGCCGAAGTCCTGACTCCTCTGAGGACTGGAAAGGTGCCTTCAGCCGACCAGAAGATCATTTTCGCACAGATGCTTGCTGCGTTGAACAGCTCGGAAGCTCTAGCTGCTTCTATCCCTCAAGGTCTTGCGCCAGTTGCAGCAAAGGAACCCAATGAAGCAGCTGCAAGTGCTGAAATTGCTGCGCTTTCCAAGCACTTGAAGTTTGGTCTCGAAAAGGGTGTTGCAGTAGATGCCGCAACCAGTGATGCTTACGTGAAGGGTGTTGCCGAGAAGCGACTTCCATTCCGCAAACTGTGGACTTTGAGTATCGCCGAAATCGTTTGGTCGCTCGAGGGAGATGTATTGAAACAGCCTGAAGTCGCGTCTCTAGTCGATGCAGTGATTGGCAAGATGATTGACTCGTTCAACGAGGTAGTTGCCAACCCTGTCTCTGCTACTCAAAATGGACAGGTCACTCTTGCTTGCGCCGTCACTGCTTTGTCGTTAGCAAAGGTTCCCCAGCTTGCGGAGTTGAAGAATGCATTCATTTTGAAGAAAGCTTCTCTCCTGGATCGTGCCATCGCCCTCGAACCCAAGCCCTCTTTCCTTCTCAATACACGTGTCTACACTAAACTCACCTCCCACGAGGATTTGGTCTGGTTGACAAGGGCACTTGCCGCGACTAGCTCCGGTATTGCTTCTTCAAGTCCTGCAATCCAGGATGCCTGGGCTCAGACGTTTATCTACCTCATTGTGGCTTCTGGCCTACCAGCCACTGCTCGCTCCGAAACAATTCCTTCATTGCGCGCAGCTTATTTGGCCCAGCCTGAGGCTGTAGGAAAGACCATCACTGAGGCCCTGTCTCACTGGTCCGCAGATGTTGAAATGGAGACAAAGGAGAGCGCTGCTTTACTTGCCAAGACTGGTAGACAAGAGCTTCACAAGGTCATCCGTTGTATTTGCCTGACTAAGGAAGAGGTCGCCGCAGGTCAAGCCACCATCGAGCAGAATGTCCTGGACAGTCAATTGATCAATCTACTAGTCTTATGTCGTCCAGAGTTGATGCCTAGATCTTCTTGGATTGAGGCTTGCCTTAGGACAGGCACTGACCCTGGTGAGCTTGTCAGAAGAAACACTTCAGAGTGCATGGATCAGATCGTCCGTGTGTCCGAAGACAAGCTGCTCTCCACTATTCCTGCTTTCCAACTTGCTGCGTTCCAAGCAACTGCGGACTTGGTGTTCGTGGCTCCCGAAGAATTGACACCTGTTGTCCTTGATCAGATCTGTAATGACTTGGATCCTAAACTGCTTCAAGACGTTGGTCCTACAGAGGCTGCCATCTTCCGCACACCTGAGGGTACCGCCTTCATTGATGTTCTTGCAAAGCAGACACAAGCACAAGCCCCTAGCAAGAACAGCAAAGACTATGACACTTATAAGTGGGAGCAAGAACTCAGAGGCCAACTAGCTCAGAAGAAGGGAACCACGAAAAGACTGACTGCTGATGAGCAAGCCAAGGTGAATGCTCAACTTGCAAAGGAAGCTGAGATCCGCGGCAATGTCACAACAGTGGTAGCCAAACTGAGAAGAGGTATTGGCATGGTCACTGGCCTTGTCACCGGACCCCCTACCGAGGCAGCCAACTGGTTTACCGTTACCACAGCACGCTTGTTCAAGGTTATCAATGCTGGTGCAGGCCTCATCCTGGGCGATGCTGCTGTCCTCGCCTACCTCGAGTGTGCTCAGAAGACTTCATCTCGTCTGGGGTCCATGCGCTCGTTCGTTGGTGTTGCGGCTTTGAGGGCTGCTGGTCTGACCACCTTACCCGAAGCTATGCAGGAAGAACCTCTGGGTGACTTAATAACCCGTGTCCTCTACCGTCTACGCTTTTTGGGCGAACAAAGGCCTCTTGACGCTGTCACCTTGAGTTACTGCCTTCCCCTTGCCTTTTTGGTTTTGGAACAGGGCGGTGTCGGTAAGTCCGAGGAAGAGGAGGCTCAGGAACAAATTATTCTTGCCGCCGAATTCCTTAGCTTCCACGCTGAGACTTGTAGCGAGCCACGTCTGGCCCGCAAGGAAGTTCTCTCCGTCTTGATCGCCTCACTCCAAGCTTATCAACAGCACTTCCGTCTTTTCAAGGACTGTTTCTCTGATGTCTGCAGAAGTGTTGCACCTAACGCTACCGAAGCCGAGACCGATGTGGTCGTCAAGGCCACTGTTGTGCCCGAGTCTTCCGTTCGTGAAGTAGCTCTTCAAGCCATCAGTGCAGAGTTTGAGCTTTCTGGTAAAGACTTCTATGACGAGATCTTCCTCGCCACCCACGATGATGTCGAGGAAAATGTCGAGTTGGCACACGAGATCTGGGCTGAGAACGAGCTCAAGACATCGCCAGAATCAGCCGACACCATCATCAAGTATCTGACTTCGCATGATATTCAGCTTCGTCGTGCTGCTGCACGATCGTTGGCAGCACTCGTCCAGGAGCACTCCAATATCTCAGACAGCGTCATTTCTCGCCTGCAAGATACATACAGGGAAGATGCGAAGCCGAGAGCACCTCAGCGTGACAAGTATGGCATGCCCATTAAGATGGATCTGTCCGACCCTTGGCAATCCAGACAGGGTATCGCTCTTGCTTTCAACCAACTCACCTCAACCTACACTAGTGACCAACTTGTACCTTTGATGGAATTCATGGTTGCAGACGGTCCCCTAGGCGATAAGAGTGTGAATGTTCGCGACTCCATGCTTGACGCTGCTACTGCCATAATCGCTGCTAAGGGCAACCTCCAAGTCGAGACCTTAATGAAGCTGTTTGAGACTACACTCGAAGGAGGCTCTGGATCTTCAACTCAAGACGCAGTCAACGAGGCCGTCGTCATCTTGTATGGTGCCCTCGCTCGTCACTTGAAGGCTGGCGACAGCAGAGTACCCAAGGTCGTACAGCGTCTTCTGACAACCCTCAACACCCCATCAGAATCTGTACAGTACGCTGTCGCACAATGCCTTCCTCCCTTGGTTCAGGCCTCCAGCAAGGAAGCTGGGCAGTACGTTCAGCAAATGATGGATACCATGCTTACATCCAAGAAGTACGCTGCCAAGAGAGGTGCAGCTTATGGTCTGGCCGGTATTGTGAAGGGCAGAGGTGTCTCTGCTCTTCGTGAGTTCCGCATCATGTCGAATCTGGTCAGCGCCACCGAGGAGAAGAAGGATCCTTACAAGCGTCAAGGTGCTTTCCTTGCTTACGAATTGCTGTCTCTCATTCTGAGCCGCGTTTTCGAGCCATATGTCATTCAAATCGTACCACAGCTCTTGTCTGGATTCGGTGACGCTATCACCGATGTCCGTGAGGCATGTCTCGATGCTGCGAAGACCTGTTTCGCCAGTCTGAGCTCTTACGGTGTCAAGCAAGTCCTGCCTACTCTGCTCGAGGGTCTTGATGAGCAGCAATGGAGAAGTAAGAAGGGTGCTTGTGACTCCCTTGGTGCCATGGCCTACCTGGACCCCGAGCAACTCGCTGTCAGCTTGCCCGAGATCATTCCACCATTGACTGAAGTGCTGAACGACAGTCACAAGGAAGTCAGAGCATCTGCCAACCGTAGTTTGCAACGCTTCGGTGATGTGATCAGTAACCCTGAAATCAAGAGTCAAGTCGATATTATCCTGAAGGCTCTGAGTGATCCTACCAGATACACCGACGATGCTTTGGATGCTCTGATCAAGGTCAACTTCATCCATTACCTCGATGCTCCATCATTGGCACTGGTCGTTCGTGTTCTGGAGCGTGGTCTGGGCGACCGCTCTGCCACAAAGAAGAAGGCGTCCCAGATCATCGGTAGTCTGGCTCACCTTACTGAACGCAAGGATCTCATCACACATCTGCCTATTTTGGTTGCTGGTCTTAGAGTTGCCATTGTCGATCCCGTCCCTACTACTCGTGCCACAGCTTCCAAAGCTCTTGGTTCGACCATCGAGAAACTTGGTGAGGAAGCCATGCCAGATCTCATTCCAAGTCTCATGGCTACTCTCAAGTCAGACACTGGTGCTGGTGACAGACTTGGTTCTGCCCAGGCTCTCAGTGAAGTCCTTGCTGGTCTTGGTACCAGTCGTCTTGAAGAGACTCTGCCCACCATCCTGCAGAACATCTCGAGTTCTAAGCCTGCAGTCCGCGAGGGCTTCATGTCGCTGTTCATCTACCTGCCTGCATGTTTCGGTAACAGTTTCTCGAACTACTTGTCCAAGATCATTCCCCCGATCTTGTCTGGTCTTGCTGACGATATTGACACAATTCGTGAGACTGCACTGCGTGCTGGTAGACTGTTGGTCAAGAACTTCGCCACTCGCGCTATTGACTTGCTGCTTCCAGAGCTCGAACGTGGTCTGGCAGATGACAGCTACCGCATTCGTCTTAGTTCCGTTGAGCTGGTTGGTGACCTGCTCTTCAACCTCTCTGGTATTAGTGGAACCGCAGAGCAAGAAGAGGCCGAGGAAGGTGCCAACGAAGCAGGCCAATCGCTTCTCGAGGTCCTTGGAGAAGAGAAGCGCAACAAGGTCCTTTCCGCGTTGTATATCTGTCGTTGCGATACCTCTGGTCTTGTGCGCACTGCATCTATCAACGTCTGGAAAGCACTTGTCGCCTCGCCCCGTACTCTTCGCGAGCTTATCCCTACCCTTACCCAGCTTCTCATTCGCCGTCTTGCAAGTCCCAACATGGAACAGAAGGAGATTGCCGGCAACGCTCTGGGAGAGCTTATCAGAAAGGCCGGAGAAGGTGTTCTGTCGACTTTGCTGCCTACTCTCGAAGAAGGTCTGCAAACTACCGACGTGGATGCCAAGCAGGGTATCTGTATCGCTCTGCGCGAGCTGATCGCATCTGCCTCACCCGATGCGCTCGAGGATCACGAGAAGACTCTGGTCTCCGTGGTACGTATCGCTCTGGTCGACAGCGACGAAGACGTCAGAGAAGCAGCCGCAGAGGCTTTCGATTCTTTGCAAAAGGTTCTCGGCAAGCGCGCCATCGACCAAGTCTTACCGTATCTGCTCAACCTGCTCAGGTCCGACGAGGATGCAGACAATGCTCTTTCGGCTCTGCTTACCTTGCTCACCGAGCAGACCAGATCCAACGCCATCTTGCCCAACCTTCTCCCTACTCTTCTCACTCCTCCGATTACTGCGTTCAACGCAAAGGCCTTGGCTTCGCTGGCTCAAGTTGCAAGCTCTGCCATGACCAGAAGATTACCAAACATTCTCAATGCACTCATGGACAGCATGCTCGCCACCAAGGACGAAGAGCTTCGTACCGATCTCGAGAACTCCTTCGACGCCGTCCTCCTGTCTATCGACGAATTCGATGGCCTTAACACTGCCATGAGCGCCATGCTTGCTCTGACCAAGCATGAAGACCACCACAGAAGAGCCCGTGCAGACCTGCATCTCGCTACGTTCTTCAAGACAAGCGACCTTGATATCTCACGATACTACCCTGATCTCATCCGCACGCTACTCATCAGCTTCGACGACAGTGATGCCGAGGTCGTCAGGGCGGCATGGTCTGCCCTATCTGCGCTCACTGGACGTCTGCGCAAGGAAGAGATGGAGAGCTTGGTCTTCTCTACCAGACAGACTCTCAACCAAGTTGGTGTTGCGGGCCACAACCTGCCTGGTTTCTCGCTCCCCAAGGGCATCAACGCTGTTCTTCCCATTTTCTTGCAGGGTTTGATGAACGGTTCCGCCGAACAGCGTACAGCATCTGCATTGGCGATCTCCGATATCATCGACCGTACCAGTGCCGATTCTCTCAAGCCTTTCGTCACTCAGATCACCGGTCCCCTGATTCGTGTTGTGTCTGAGCGTTCAGTCGAGGTCAAGGCTGCTATCTTGTTCACTCTCAACAACCTTCTCGAGAAGATACCCGCTTTCCTCAAGCCCTTCTTGCCCCAGTTGCAACGTACTTTCGCAAAGTCGCTTGCCGATACCTCGAGTGAGATTCTCCGTATCAGAGCCGCAAAGGCTCTCGGTACGCTGATCACCCTCACCNCCCGTATCGATCCTCTCATTGCTGAGTTGATCACTGGTTCAAAGACTGCCGATACTGGCGTGAGAAATGCCATGTTGAAGGCGCTGTATGATGTGGTCGTCAAGTGCGGATCTAGCATGAACGAGGCTTCGAGAACCGGTATCTTGAGTCTGATTGACTCTGACACTGGTGACTCAGATGAGGCTTCTGCCATCACCAACGCACGTCTACTTGGTGCTTTGATCAAGGTCCTACCAGAAGATGTTGGCGGTGGTCTTGTCAAGGCGCGTGTTCTTACCCCTAACCACACCTATCCCTCCGTTCTTGCCCTCAACTCGATTCTGGCCGAGGCTCCCGAGTCTCTGACTGGACCTTTCGCTGATGTCCTGCCTCCTACCATATGCCAAGGCATCGGTAGCAGCCAGCCTGCCATTGCGGACAACTGCGTCCTCGCAGCTGGAAAGTTCCTACTCACGCCTACATCCGACAAATCATTTGAGCCCGTGAAGCAAATCATGGAAGCTCTCGCCGCCGCGATCGCCCCCGGCAAGCCCGTAGACACACGTCGCCTGGCACTAGTCGTCCTGCGCACCGTTTCTCGCGAGCAAAACGACCTCGTCCGCCCGCACCTCGCCCTCCTCACCCCCGCCGTATTCGGCAGCGTGCGCGACATGGTCATTCCCGTCAAGCTCGCCGCCGAAGCCGCCTTCTTGGCTATGTTTAGCGTTGTCGAGGAGGAAGACGCCGTGTTTGCCAAGTACATGGCTGGACCTGGTGCTGAACTTGCTGCAGGCCCTAAGAGAAGTCTGCAGGACTACTTCAAGCGCATTGCTACAAGATTGGGCGCGCAAGCTAGAGAGCGCAGGGAGGCTGAAGGTGGACAAGGTGGATTGGGCCTTTCTAGTGATGAGCAGGAAGACATGAAGGAGGTGTGGAGTGTTGGAAAGGTGGACATGGAGAGTGGTGCTTTCAAGGACGAGTAAGGGGGAAACGATGGTCCTTTCATGCATAAAAGCGGGAAAAGCGAATCACATTTCGGTCTTGTAAATAACGCAATATTTCCTTTGCATCGTATAAATTTGATTTTACTTGTTCAATATGCTTCTCGGATTCTTTACGTGCGTGTTGGCGTCAGAGGAAAACGATGCGGGTACAAGACGATGGGTCATTTTGACTGTATCACTGAAAAGAGAAAAAGGGGGTATCATCTATAGGCTACATGACCTCGTCGTCCACGGCTTCTTTATCAGTCCTGCTTCCACTGACATGTTTCCACGCCTCGGTAAACGTGTGTTTGACACCGTCTCTCCAACCCCAAGCAACGCAGTAGTGTGAAGCCAGCAATTTCCACTCTTCGACCTCATCCAGCCATTCCAGCCGTTCTACCCTGTCNCTCTCCGCCTCACTCACCCACTCATTGCCATAGTAGATTTGCTCGACGTCGGCGGCGCCTTGGCCCGAACTGAATCCCGCGTTGGCGAGACGGGAGCGCTGGGCAGCGAGAGAGTAGTAGCGGCGCACGGTTTGCAGTTCTATGCCTCTTGAAGCGAGGTTTGTGATCATTGTTTTGCCAAAAGAATCGTAAGGGCGGATGGGCTCATAGAGGATTATTGCTAGCGAGGCAGAAGGGATGAGGGTGGTAAAGTGGGAGAGAATGGAAGAAGTTGTTTGGGGAGGGAGGTAGCAGAGGCAGCATTCGCTGATGAGCAGGGTGGGTAGGTTGTGATCGAGGTTTGGTATCGAGGGTGGAGAGGAGGAAACGAGATCGCGTAGATCGATGGAGTGGAGATTGTAGTTGGGAGACTGGAGGGAGGATTTGTCGGTGGACATGGTCATGAGGCCGAGCATAATCTTGAGTTTTGGGATCGAGCAAATGGCGGACACTTTGTCGCGGATATTGTCGACAAAGTCGAGCTCATGATAGAGGGTTCTGTGTCTTCGGGCGGGTGACAGACGGAAGAAGCGAGTGTCGGAGCCGGCGCCTAATGAAATGATTTGTGCCAATGGTGCAGTAGACGCATCCTCGGTGTTTGCATCGATTGTGGCAGCGAGGAAGTTGTCGACTAGACGGTCGATGGCTGATGTGCGGACATAGGTGCCGCGATTGATCAGAGGGTATCGTCTGGGTATTTGGCCCTGGAGGAAACATGTGGCATATTCGTCGTGCAAGTAACCAAGCGTGACAGCACTCAGTCGGGAGTTGGAAGCGTCGCCGTCGGTCTGACGGATGATTTTGTCGCGAGCATCTTGGGCATCTTCTTCTGATGCGTCTGGATCTGTAGGGCGACCGCGACCTCTGCCTCGTCGCAGACCTGTTCGACCTCGAAGGCTGTTGAGATTCGGGATGGAAGGAGCGGCCATCGTTCCTTCTCCAACAATGACGACGCCGGCCACCTAGAGGTGGAAGGAGCCTCGGTGCCCTTGACCGCCTTGCCAAGACTGCCGGCAGAATTGTTCACTGCGAAGACGAAGCATCCAATCTTTGGCGCGCGCAGCACCGTCACCCATCGCAATACCTCCTCTACCATCCCTCCGATCTCACACACGCCATAACCACAGCCATGGCCGACGACGAGACTAGACGCGAAACCTCCAGACTGTGGCGCGTCTGGAAGACGACCAAGCAGCTGTGCTACGACAGAGTCCGACTGCCCTTTACGCATCACTCACTAGACCATCAAGACTGACGCACAAGTCGCAGGNGCTACGAACTAGCCGAAGATGAACTCGATGTCTCCCTCGACCAATTCCGCGACCAGTGCGGCGACGGCAGCGGCCAGGTCAAGTGCGTGTCTTCTCACCAATCGACCACACGACACTGTCCCTTCTAACATGCTCGCGCAGCAAAATCCAAGATGAACTTCCAAGCCCGCCCCTCAGAAGCCATGCTCACAAAATACACCGCCCTGCCCACAAAGTCCAACCCCAACCCCGAGCCCCAAATCGGCACCATCTACGTCGAGTTCAGCACAGAAGCCGCAATCGGCATCAAGCACCTGCGCAACTACGCCCAATTCCTCAACGACCGCAACTTTTACTCTGGCATCTACATTACCAGTGCTTCCGTCACCACCAGCGCTCTCAAGCAAGCTGCAAATCTGCCCATCGGTATCGAGGTCTTCCAAGAGACGGATCTGCTGGTCAACATCACCAAGCACGAGCTGGTGCCCAAGCATATCTTGTTGAGTCCGGAGGAGAAGAAGGCATTGCTGGATCGCTACAGATTGAAGGAGACCCAGCTTCCCCGTATTCGTGTCGAAGACCCTGTGGCCAAGTACCTCGGTCTGCGCAGAGGTCAGGTCGTCAAGATTATCCGAAAGTCCGAGACTGCTGGTCGTTATGCCAGTTACCGCTGGTGCATATGAGAGAGGATACCACCCAAATTCGCATTTTCAAATCTGTTTAATTCTGGCGCCAAAGGGGGAAGCGAAAAAAATGAGCTCAGAGCAAGGAGGGCTGCCTGAGTGTGTTGCATGGGCGTTCTACTGGCGTTTTTCTCTACGAGAAGAAATCTCAATTACTGGCCTGCTCGATTGTCTTTTCGGCCATACTACATCAACATGTTGGTTCTCTGATATTGGTAGCCAAATCTCCCTATCAAGAGAATACTGAACCGAATCACAAAAATTAACCCCAACGTTATCTCATTCGCGCGTGGAGATATAGTTTCTTGTTTGGCCAGGCTAGTGGACAAGTCACGCTCTTTCCGCTCGTTGGAAAGGCATGCTCGAGTGTTTTCTTTGAACGTAGAAGCTTTACTAGTCTTTCTGCAATGGACTGTCCAGGAGGGTCCATAATGGTATCAGAAATCCATGCCTCAAGCATCGACTTGCATGATATCATCGTCGTCCAAACCTCCATACTCGTCTTCTGCAGCGTGAGCCTCTCTCATAACCGCATCACCGCTGATGCCAGCATTCCTCTCATCCCTCTGCCTCTCCTTATCAACTTTTTCCTTATGCCTTTCTAAATCTTCAATACTCCACGTGCTAACACCTTCCTGCATCTTTGCCGGGAAAGGCTTGCTCATCATCTTCAAGAACCTCTTTGCAGTCGCCACGGCTTGGTCGACGGAGAGATTGCTGTCACCTTCGAGCAAAGCGGCATTGATCCATTTGGGCAGCTGCACGCGCTTTTTGCCAAAGCGGCGGTCGGCGAGCACCATGATGCCGTAGTCGTCTTTACCACGCAACACACGACCAAGACATTGAGCGGCATGTCTCATGGCGTCGAAAGAAAGGAAGTCGTTTTCGCGGATGCGGTACGTCTCACGGAGGAACTCGAGGCGCGCCTTCAAGATGCGGGATTCGGTGTATTGGAACGGGACGCCGATGCAGAGCACAGTGCGGCCGTAGTGGTGGTCGAAATCAATACCTTCCGAAACTTTGCCACGTGCGACACACAGTAAGATGGCGCCTCTGCCGTTGCTGCATGCAGTACGGTAGGTCTCCAGCGCCAAGGAGGTTTCTTGTGAATCGGGTGTTTCCACGAGGATGAGTTTATGTTTCCAGACTTGGTCGAGGATGCCCATGCCTTGCCACATGGAGATGATGCTCTCCATGTACAGGTATGAAGGGAAGAATACCACGATGCCGTCGGGCGTGATCTTGGAGAATTCGATCAAGAGGTTGCCATAGTTGCGCACGACGCCGGGGTCGTTTCTGATGGTGAACGAGGACGAGATGGCGCCTTGGTCGCTTCCTCTAGTTACGATCATGGGCAAGAAGGAGCGACGGGCCAGCGTCATGCTGTAAGATTCCTGAACTACCGTGTTGAAGCCAAGCATCTTTGGGTAGATTTCCAAAGGAGAAATTGTGCCAGAGGTGATCACCACCGAACTGAAGCGGTCGAACACAGGTTTTATGGCAATTGCAGCGTCCAGGCAAGTAAAGTGAAGAATAGGATTGGGCACAGTAGCGGTCTCTGATTCGTAGGGTTCGAGAATCAGAAGGAAACCCGTTTCGTATGTTGCAACCAGAGTCGCAAAACTGGCAACTTCTTGCAGTGGCTGGTAGTCCTCGATGTTCTGAAGTTCCAGGGTCCTGACCAGAGATGTTAATCGCTCTGCACAGAAGCGCAGAGGCTTTCTTTCGATAAAGGTGAGCTCCTTGAGATGTTGCAGGAAGGAAGGTGGTGTCTCTGAAATGACATGCAATACTTTCATGCGAGTCTTCAGATACTCGACGAAACGTTTGAGGAAAGCGACGAAATGCTCTGCCCTTCGGATGTTTCCTGGGACCGCTTCCTTGAGCAAATCATCCGGTAGTGCTGGATTCCTCATGAATGCACCCTCATCGTTGGCCTCATCTGCGTCTCGAAGACCTTGTACCAGCTTTGCATATTCGTTCTGCAACTTTGCTGCGTCCGTCGTCTTCATCTCGCTAATCTTTCTCTCCAGATTGGCTGCACCTCTTCCGGCCTTTCGTAATGAGTCTTCGGTGATGTCGATACTTAGTGATTCGATGCAGACGTTGTCGATGTTGTGAGCTTCGTCAAATACGACAATGCAGTCCTTGGAGAGTTCTTTCGACACTCTTTCGGCGATCTTCGGATCTAACAGATAGTGATATGAGTAGATGACCACGTTACAGAAAGGCATCNNTGGGAAGCTGGTTAGAGACTGCAAACTGAACAGTAAAGACGAACCCACCATTCGTCGAACTGTGAAGTAAGGGCACTGCTTCTGCTCTTCGCCATATTTAAGCACATCGTCGAAGGTGAAGACACCTGGGGGAATCAAGTTGTGTGGCTCCAGAAGATCGAGATTNCTATAGAGGGTCAGCGAAACTTCATAACAAGACCGACAAGAGCAAAATATTACTTCGTGGTAGACACAAAGTTCCACGTCCTCGCCCCTCTCTTTCTTCTCCTTAACGAAGCCGGCCGTCAGAGATCGACATCTGGCATCAACAATGGAGCCACTCTTCTCTCTCTTGACGGAGGGATGCAGACAAAGGTTCTTACGTGAAGTAAGACCTAGTCCTCTAAAGTCTTCAACATAGCCTAGTTGTTCCGATCGATATTTCATCAGAGCTTTCAGTTCTGCGAGTGCCTTTTCGATCTCAGACATTGTANNCCTAGACACGTTAGATATGGCAGCGCGTGGTTCCAAGGGTCGTAACACACGCGAGCAGTAAATCAGTTTGCGGTGTTCCGGATAATGTTGCTGATATGCCACAATGAGAGAAAGGAGGGTGACGGTCTTTCCAGTGCCCGAAGGCATCTCCAAGACACAGTGGCCTCCTGCATCCAGAGTGCCTGGCCATTGTGTGAGTGTTGTGAGGTCACATTTTGGCATGTCTTGATACATACGTTTGAGATCGCACATGTATCTTTTCGAACAGGTCAGCAACTGACAAGTGATATACAGTTTACAGGCAGCTTACGCATATTGTTCNTGTTCATGTTGTCAGTATATGTTGGCGAGAAGTGTTTTGCCGCCTTGTAACTCACCTGGATAGATTCTGGGGTAGGGAAAGAGAATTGGCAGGTCACTTTGGTCGTCAGCAGGGATCTTGATCTCGATGGGCTCGGCATGGGACTTACTCAATCATGAACTTCATGTTGGCGAACTGTGCCTATTCCTCAGAGGCTGAGGTAGGACTTGAAGAGAAGAGGCAGCAGTTGTATGGCTACTGGCTGACCAAACAGATGAACGAACGGCCGTCTCAAAGCAGCTAGTGTCGATGGTGTGCACGGACGGTGTAGCCTATTCTCTGAGTGACGTACTGACTTTCTACGCAGTCGCGACTTTTGAGAGCAGAAGCAACCATCTGTACAGTACCTTCACTAATTTTCTTTCTGGTCGGAACAGTGCTTGTTCTTATACAGTACACCACCATCCTCGCACAAACACATCAAGAGGCATGAAGAAGGCATTCAGGCCTCAAGCAAGCAGCGCACGCTCTACTGGAGGTAGCGCCTTTGGTGGGGGTTTTGGTGCTACCGGTTTTGGTGTATCCTCGTCGCCGCTGTCATGGATTGGTGAACCGCCGGATCTCTCCAACATCTCGGATCCCAATGTGGGAGTCGCCTTTAAGAACTTGACCAAGAAGGACAGCACAACAAAGGCCAAGGCCCTGGAAGAACTGCAGCAATACGTCTCTGCTCCGGACCAGCAGATTGAAGAGCCAGTTCTGGAAGCATGGGTGAGCCCATGACATGCCAACTCGAGAATTAAGTATACTGATCATTACGCGACCAGGNTCAGACTATATCCCCGTCTCTCAATAGACAGCGCTCGTCGCGTACGTCAGTTGGCACACAATGTCCTCGGTCAAATCACCCTCAAGAGTGGAAAGAGGATGGTGAAACACATGTCTAGAATTGCTGGACCTTGGCTCGCAGGTGCACAAGATAGCGATCGCGCCGCTGCGAGAGCTGCTCAGGATGCTTTGAAGCTCGTCTTCAACACTCCCGAGAAACTACAGAATCTCGGAAAGGCTTTCCAACAACCAATTCTAGAGCACTGCAGAGACGCCCTCTTGAACGAGACGGTCCAGACCCTGAGCGACGAACGAAGTGTTAGCCCCGCCGATGCTCAAGCCACATACTCACGAGTCGTTGCCACCAGCATTGCCGTCATCTCGAACCTTCTCAACGATCTGCCTTCGGAAGAAGTGGCCAAGCAACAAGAAACATACGAGGCTATCGTTGGACAGAACAAGATCTGGGAACTGGCTTCGTATAAAGAAGATGTTGTTGTCCGGAGATCTATTCACCGTTTCTTGCGCACATGCTTGTCTAAGCAAAGGACGGCTGTCGAGACCAACCTGTCAACCATCAGCGAAGCTTACATCTCAAAGGCGCTTCCTCACGATCAGACTGGATCGTCCTACGACTTTATGCTAGCTCTAGTAGAGCTTACCGACACCTTCCCTCAAGCATGGACCACGAGCTATACCTCCAAGAAGCCGGCCGGTACACGATTAAGAGGTTGCATCAAGCGCGGCTCTCAGGCTGGACCTGCCGAGTTTTGGATCAACGCGTGGCTTCTGTTCAGCAAATTGCCTACCGAAATCCTACCTCAAAAGTACTCTGAGGCGGAAGAGCTGTTGAATGCGGTGCATGACGGTGTTGGCCAGAAGGACGACCGCTTCAACGCATCCGCAGCATGGTTTACCTATTTCAAGATTCTCGATCTGGTTCAGAACACTGCCTCTTTGTCTGATGAGGAACATGAGACTCTGCTGAATAAGATGGCCATCCCGGCGATCGAGCAGTATCTGCGCCCAGCCCCTGGCACTGCGGACTGGCTGATTTCCGGTGCTAAGCCTGCTTGGAATGTGTCGAAAGCTGCATTCTGTAAGCGCTTGCCATCTGTCTTAGAGAAAAAGTGGCCCGAGTACGCTGCGCTGCTTGTCGAGGACATTCGAACATCACTTCCTGAGCAGTCGAAGGATTTCGAAAAGTCGCAAGCACACGTCGCCTCTGCTGCTGAGAGATGGGCTTTGCTCCAGTCAGAGCTTCTCCGCGAGGAATATCAGCTTCCAGAGTCTCTACAAGCGGTCTTCTCTCAATCAGCCAAAGACATCATCAAAGCATCTCTCGAATCGCTCAGATCTAGAAATGGCAAACCATATGGCGCTGCCGCCGCGGTCGACGAGTTGCAAAACCATTGCAAAACTCTGCTTGCTAAGGACCAGGAGACACAAGACATCATCGCAGCTTTCGTTGTGGAAGACCTACCAGAGTTGTTGTCTTCGCCTTCGCAGAGGCAGTCTGTTTCCCTCCTGTATCATTTCCAGGCCGATTCTCGTTTCGCCGAGGCATGGAACAAAGCTGCAAACGCTCTCGGGAACAGCCCAGACTCTGAAGAAAAGTTAAATGCTTTCCGCAATTTGTTGGCTTCGCCCAGAGTTAAACCTGCTGCAGAGCTTGCTGCTCAGAACGGTGACATCCAAGCCTTCCTGCAGCGCCAGTTCAAATCCAGTCTAGAGACTGGAGAGCAATGGAGCTTTGTTTCGGGAATTCTCAAGGGTACACCGAGCGTAGCTTCAACAGAAACTGTTGGCAACATGCTAGCAGATCTCACTGCCTCGCTGTCTATTTCGGACAAGGCTGGATCTGCTCTGGACGGTTTGCAAGAGATCTCAAGAAGCAATAAGACTCTTGTTAAGGAGCACATCAAGAAGCCAAATGGTTCCCAGCTTCTTCCCAACCTTCTGCTTTTGGAGGAATCCAGCGATGAATCATTGGCTGCCAAAGCCTCTAGCATCAGCAAAAGTATCGTCACCGAGGCAGACAAGGCTGGTTCTCAGACTATACTCTTTGACGTTGTGCATCAGAGTCTGAGAGATGTGTCATCAGGCTCACTACCGATGCCTCAAGTTCTTGACATGGCTGACAATCTTATCAAGGATAGTGACCTTGAGCAGAAGAAGCAGGAAGTTGCAAAGCAAGCTCTACCTGATTTGCAGTCTTGGAAGACTGCAATTGCACCATTCATCGGAACCGCACCTTCCATCGCGTTTGCCATCACTAACGTTCTGGGTGGCGCGACCTATCTGGTGGACCCTAAGTCCGAGTCTGATTCTCCTAGGATTCTGAGAGATGCCGATGGCTTGTCACAAGCATTGAGATTCGCCATGTACACATCGAGGGTGTTCACTAACAGTACCTTGCTTCAAGCACTCGAACCTGAGACACAAACGGAGCTGTTCCAGCTCTTCTACATCACCCACATCCTTCTGACAGAAAGCATTTCTTTGACGGCACAAGGAGGCCTTGCCTCGCCCAACCCAGAGACCGAGGCCGAGGTTGTTGAATTCGTAAACGAAGCCAACAAGCTTGTTGGGGACTGCTTCCAGCAATACGAAGACGCATCGTCATCTTGCGCGTTCGTTGGTACAACTCTCGACAATTTCTTTGAGAAATCTAAGGGCAGCAGTACATCTGCGTACTACCATGCTCAAGCACTGAGCCACGCACTTGGTGATCTCGAGTCCATTCATGGTGGTGGCCATGCCAAAGTTCAAGAATACGAAGACAAGGCATTGCAGCTTTACAAGGCCAAGGATGTTGTACCCTTCACAGCTTGCGCCAGTGGTCTTAGAGAAGCGTTGTCCGATAGCAAGAAACTCGACAGGCAGACTAACGAATTGGTTGCCGATCTCACTGGCTTGGACGCTACGCAGTCTCCTGAAAAGGCCATCACGCAACTTGTTATGCTAAATGCTTTGTTCCCTGAGAGCAAGCAAGCTGACAGCATTGTTGCTAAGCAGCGTCTCATCTTCTTGATGAAGCATATTCTACCTTGGCTCGAGAATGATGAGGTCGTTACTCCTATCAAGGCTGAGACTTGCAAGACCTTGCTTCTCGTCCTTCCTGGCGTCAGTGATATTTACGGTGAACACTGGTCGCAGATCCTGGCATTCCTGACCCATACATGGGAGTTGGGCTTCGTTCGTAATGAAGTTGCTGATGAGAGTCGCATGACTTTAGTTTACACCACTCTTCAACTTTCCTCTACTCTCCGTACCCTCAAAGCAAGCGAGGAGCCGAACGATGATCTTGTTGATGCTTGGAAGGAGAGCTCTGAAGTGCTTTATATGGGCTTGATGAACCTTGTTAGACAAGGACAAGGTCAATCTGATGAGCATCATGAACCTCTGAAAGCACTCTTCCAGTCGTTAGGCAGCGAGGTCGCAAAGTGGTCTACTGGCGAGGTTGAGGATGAGGCAGAGCTATACCCTCTTCTTTACACACCATCAAAGGCTTTACAGAAGACTGCCTTTGACATCCTACACCGTGTCATCCCGGCAGCACAAGAGCAAGTGTCTTTCGATGCAGCACTCGAGAAGAAGGCAGCCAAGTTGCCCGAGGAGCTGTTGTCCTTGCTGCTCGCTCCTCCTACCTTGGACAGCCTCGCGGACGCATCTTTCCGTACAGGTATTCCTCACGAGTTGCAGGCATACCTCTACAGCTGGCAACTCGTCTTTGATCACTTCGCCAACTCCAGTTACCAGGTCAAGTCTGACTATGTCGAGGCTCTGCGTGAAGGCGAATATCTAGGTCACCTGCTGGAACTGACGTGGGAGCTCTTGGGTCATGTCCGTGGCCGTCCTGTCGATGTATCAAAGTATGACATCCGCCGATTTGACTACCTCGACCAACAGGGCGACCTCGAAGGTCTCAGCGCTGACAAACGTATGCACTGGTTACTGGCTCACCTATACTACCAATCCCTGATGCACGTACCATCGCTCACAAAAACACAATTCCTGGCCATTAAGTCACGACAAACTGGTCTGGCCGTCGAGAGCTGGACTGCCAAATACATAGCCCCAATGATCGTCTCCGCATCCCTAGACTCTGTATCACAATGGGCAGACGTAGTAAAGAACGACCCCGAATACGAAGGCTGGAGCACCAAGGTCTCGCCCCGCAGCCGCGAGGTCCACTTCTCGTATCTCGTCGACGAGCAAACAATGTCCATCGTCATCCGCCTGCCCGAGACGTATCCTCTGGCCTCGGCCCGGGTCGAAGGTCTCAACCGCGTTGCTGCCGACGAACGCAAGTGGCAATCCTGGCTGCGCAACTGCCAGGGCGTGATTCAATTCAGCAATGGTAATCTGATCGATGGTCTCACCACTTGGAAACGCAACGTCACCGGCGCGCTCAAAGGACAATCTGAGTGTGCTATCTGCTACAGCATCATTTCTGGTGACAGGCAGTTGCCAAGTAAGCGGTGCAGCACTTGCAAGAATCTGTTCCACAGTTCTTGCTTGTTCAAGTGGTTTAAGACGAGTAACGCGAGTACATGTCCGCTCTGCAGAAACCCTTTCAACTATGGTTAGAGTGATGGTCGCCATGTTGGTCCAGTGAGTATAGAAAGGAGGGCATTTTTGTATATAGAGATAATTGTATATTCTTCCTGCTCGAGTCCTCAAGGGTGGAAGCCATTGAAGGTGTGACTACCGTTTTGGGCAAATCTACAGAATTCGGCGTTGTCTCTTTGCGCAAAGAGTGAGATTGCTTCATCTGATGGCCAACGTCGTAGTGTTGTACGTTGAGAACAGTGTATCGCTGCGATGATCATTGTTGTCAACGCAAGCGAGCTACTACACGGCATGCCCATCGCTCTTTCCAACGTCAGACACCAGACCGAAACAGAAACTTGCTTTCGTGTTTGAGGTTCGCGCTTTCCGAATCTCAGTGTCAACATTGGAAAGACCTCGTTACAGGACTCGGATAAATAGCCGCGGAATACACCAGAATCCCGCCAACGATCACCGGTCTCAATATGGCTAGAAAGAACGAAGCAAAGCTATCTCGGACTGACCCTAAGAATACCAGAACGACTGGGCAGCCGCTCCGGCGATCGAGTCGCAAGCGCAAAGCAGAAGAATCCACAGTCGATTCGGACCCCAAACCGAATAAGTTGTCGGCTCCTGTGACTCGTCCAAACAGCAAGAAGCCACAAACGTCGCCTTCATCTCGTCAAGCAATCAAAGCCAGATCAGATAGCCAAGAAGCGCAGAAAGCTACCAACATCGAGCATTTCACCATTCCCTTCAATGCCAAAGAAACCATCTGCGAACGACGAGGCGCAGGGCACGACACCTTGTCTCTTGTGTTTACCCACGGAGCTGGGGGCGGCATCACTGCACCCGCAATCGCAGACTTTGCAGATGGGGTTGGGGAAGTGTCACCGATAGTCACATATCAAGGAACCATGAATCTTGCTTCCCGCGTCAAGGCCTTCGATGCAGTACTCTCACACGAAGCCTTCTCAACAGCATTGGGCGGAAGAAGTATGGGCGCCCGCGCAGCCTGTTTGGCAACAACCGCACAAACAACTTCACTAGTGTTGGTCAGTTTCCCGCTGGTCGGAGGCAAGAACAACGACAGTCGCGAAAGCACCATTTTGGATATAGCAGAGGATGTACAGGTGCTGTTCATCATCGGGGACAGGGATAAAATGTGCGAGCTTGAACACCTTCGGCGTGTGATTAGTGAGGCCAAGGCGCAATGCTGGGTTGCTGTTGTCGAGGGCGCCGATCATGGTATGAGTTGGAAGTGGAAGGACTCTGTATCTGCTATGCGGCGGAGAACGGGTGTACTTGCTGCTGAGTGGCTCAAGGCGAGGCAGAGTGGGAAGCGAGAGTGTCGTGTCTGGTGGGATGATGAGGATGGGGAGGTGAAGTGCAGCGGTTGGGTGGCAGAACATTCTGGTTGAACCTCATACATTACCATGGCTAGAATGCTAAGCAGTGTCTTGGAGAAGCTGATCGTCGAGATATTCCTCTGCATTGAAGTCACCGATTTGCATAATACCATGTTTTCTTGTTTCTTCTCCTCGTGCCGTGTAATATAGATGCGTAATAGTTTATGACTCAAAACAATATCTAGCGAGATATATCATCCTAGAGCTACCTCTACAGTTACATACCTAATTCGGTGAACACTGTGCATTGTCATGGTACACTGTAGCACTAATCGTCGACGTAGGAGAGACGGCGAGTACATCCAGTAGAGGAAGACCTCAACATTGACCACATGTTCTTCAGTCAGGGTCAAGATGAAGTGCGAACTTGATTTAAAAGGATTCGAGATCTAGCTAATGGTCAACATCAACTTAATAAATACCCCTGCAAGCATGAATCTGAGGAATAGTATACCAAACAATGGTTCAACCAGGTGGAAATCATTATAGTGACGGGAATGGCCGAGTAAACGTGGTATCTAGTATCAAGATGCATGTCGAGAGTATGACCCTGGTCCAGAGTCTCCATGCCACAAAGGCCATCGTCGTTGTCCTCACATGGAAGTCGTCCTCTTCTTCGATACTGAGTTCTTCTTGCATTGAGCGTAAGACGTGACCGACTGCCTTCTAGCTAATCAGGCAATAGCTCACTCTTCTCGCCATCTGATAGACCAGTCCCCCTTAGCGTAAGACGGTTCGACAACAGCCCCGTGCATGACAGCCTCACACAACCTTCTTCCTTCCTGCTTGACTTCTCCGTCCTCATCATCCTTTCCTTTCTTTCCCTTCTTGCCCTCTCCGGTAAGCACTCTGCTGCTTTCGAGACCAAAGACCACAGCTCTTCTGGCGGCACACTTGACCATCTCCTTCTCCTCTGCTCTTCTCTGTCCATCTCTTCGTTTCTGCAGCATCTCGGGTGTTTCGTTGATTCGCTCTGCCCAGCCCTTCTCTCCACCCACGGAGCCATTGACATCGGACTCTGACTGTGGAGGTCGAACGCGGCCCTTGATTTTCACCACGTCGGCATCTGCATCGCCCTCGAGAGCCTCAGCCAGAGGTACGCCTCTGTTATCCAGGATTTTGGCACCGCCACTCTCCATTGCATCTTCATCTGCAGAAACTGTCTCTGCGGTTCCGGTATCGGTGTCAGAGTCCTGCATATCAACGCTTTTCCAGACATCGTCATCGGCAACGCCCCGCCTGGCTCTGTTCTTCTTGCGTCCAAAGGTCTTTTCCGGATCTTCGCGAGAACCATAGATCAAGGTCTCTACCTCGCTGCACGATACAAGGATCCTCGGATCGCCTTTGACCTTNTGCTGCCTCTTCTTGCTGTTGCTTTTGCTATAATCGTACTTGTCGTGTGGCTTTTCGCCAATGTCTTGGTTGGATGTAACTTTAGAGATCTCTTCTCCGGATGCTGATGGGTCTTCTTGCACGGCAGCGAATTTGGAAGCATCCTGGCCGTCGAGGAGGGCGGCAAAGGCGGCTTCGATGCGCTTGTCTGCTGGTCGTAGTTTGTGTCTTTTGCAGCGATCTGAGCAGAATTTCACTTCTGTAGCTGCCGATTTTGCCGAATTGGATTTTCTGGAGCCTNNGCAAGATTTTCTCAGTTTTGATCCTGTGTTTTGATTGTGTTTGTGTCTGGGTTGATAGGGAGAGCAAATTGGTCTGATCTCGTATTGCATTGCCCTGACATTGTGGGGACCTTGATACCATTGAGTTCTCTCCCAGTCCATCGGACTTGCAGTGGTCATAGACAGCAATTACAGGCGAAGCAACTTACCAATAACTCTGCCACAAGTATGGCAATAGCGTACCTGGTCCGAGGTCAAGTACAGCGGCGGGGGAGTAGCCGCATTCTTCTTTGGCCGTGACCCTGGATGCTGGTTAGTATCAACATGCTTCTTATGATGTAAGGTGCACAGGACATACAAGAGTCCATCCACGACATGATGAATAAGTAATTGGAATTTGTTGATGCTCGTAAACGTGCTGATGGAATGCTGTGGTTTGTGTGATGTGTTAGGAAGGTCGAGGTCTTGGAATCACCCACGTCACTGACGCTTCGCTCGCTTCCGAGTTTAGCAAGACGAGCCGATCACCACACGCGACGTTCGACTACCTCAATTGTGGATTGTGCCTTTGGAAATGGGTATCATGATTATTTCTACAAATGGAGCTTCTCTAAAAATTATGCGATATATGCCAAACGCTTGATGATATGCATCAGATTCCAAACTCCTCTTCAATGTCGTCAGGGTCTACCGTGTCCACGAATGCTCGCCTGACGAATGTGTACCACGGCTTGTTGTCCTTGGGTGACTTCTTCTTTTTCTTCTTGTCGCCTTTCTTCTTGTGTTTTTTCTTGGTGATGTCGATATCGCCTTGGTCTTCATCACCATCGAAAGATTCATCTGCTTCGATCTCTTCGACATCTGTATCTGACATCTGCACGTCGCTCTTTCTAGGTCTGACTCCGGCGATACGCTGTGCCAGGCGGAGGTAGCTTCTCGTTGTGAGATCATCTAACTGATAGACCTTGTCGCTACGAGTGTCGTACAATACTTCGTAAGTGAAATTTGTGGGGTGGGGGTTACGATCGTCATTGGAGGGCTTCTTGCCATCTTTCGATTTCTGTTGCTCTGTATCGTCCTCGAAGTGATCGTTGTTGATGCGAGTCAAGTTGGCGTAGTATTGAACAAAGCCCAGAAGAGTCAGCGACTGCGGCGAGTATGCGGGTCCAGGAGGGGCGGATTTCGAAGGCGGCTTGGGCACTGTGAACCTATGCTTCTTGGGCTTCTTCGTCTTCTTCTTTTTCTTACGCTCAGCTTCCAACTCTTCATCTTCGACTGCTGCGTCTTGCTCGAGGTTCTGTTCGTTGAACTGCTCATCCGTTGCCTCCGTTGCGAAGAGATCAAAGATGTTCTCGTTGGCAAGAGGCAACTTTCTGTCCAGTCCAGTGATGTTGTACTCATAGACACGGATGGTAGGGAAGTAGTTGGGCACAACACTTGGCGAAACATGAGAGATACTGAATCTCTCCGCGTGACGGCCTCCAATTTCGGTGTCATAGTCGTCAGGATCGTGTGGCTTCTTTCCCTTGTGTTTCTTGCCCTTCTTGGAGGCTTCTGCGTCCTCGTCCGCTTGAGGTTTTGGCAGTTTGGTCCAGCTCCTTCTCAGATCCTTGAGATAGCTAGTGGCAGATTGGATGCCAAACTTTTGTTCGGCGGCTGCGACCATGCCCCTCTTGTTGTAGTTGTTGATAACTTCATAGCCATCAACAACGCTGTCGTCTACTTCCTCGAAATCCTGCACAATAAAGTGGTCGGTATTCATGTGGCCGTAGAGTGTAGCGGCTATGACATCTCTGTACTGGTGCATCCACAGGGTGTATTTCTGCCAGCAGGTCTCGTCCCAGTTGCTCTTGTTGGCGGTACGAGCAGGAGGAACGTGACCAGTGATGATTGCCTTCATGTTGCGGTCGCGCAAGTATTGTAGCTGGATACGCAGCCAGTCAAGTTGACGATATCCAGGCTCTGATTTGGCGGCGCATCCATCGACGGCCGAGTTGGAGTTGAAAAAGTAGNNCTTGGGTACCATGTTAGAGCGGAGCAGAAACGAGTAGGCACGAAAATGGACATACAGGGAATTGAGCGAGACAACTGCAAGATGGTTAGGGATGGCCTCGACGTAGAACCAGCCGCCCTGGTCGAAAGAGTGTTTTTGCACCTCGGGGATAAAATTGCGCCATATGTCAAGGTAACGGCGTGTCCAGATATTCGGACCTCTTTCGAAGATGTTGTGTGGCAGAATGTCGTTGTTACCAAAGGTAGGAATGACGGGTATGACGAGGTCGTTCGTCGGGTCCTCGTCGGGCTCGTCTTCGTTCTTTCCAAAGACTTCGTAGAACTTGTTCACAAGCAGTTGATTGAGCTGAGTGACTTGTTGTACGTTTCTCGGTATCTTCTCGTCATTGTCATGGCGCGCCGAATCGCCGGTCCAGATGACAAAGTCGATCGAGTCCTTGAGCTCGTCGCGGATCCAGTCGAAGGTGGCATTGATGAGCGAGATGGGCGAGTCGCAGTCGGAAGTCTCGGCACCATAGTAGCCGGCTGGGCCGTGGCCTCTATGACATGCGCCGGTCTCGTCGACGGATGAGTAGATCTTGTAGAAGGGGTCCGGATGGAAGTCNTGCAGCATGGCAAGAGATCAGTCGGTGACATGCCGAGTGGAGCATGTATATTAACACTCACCCGTCACCTGCAAGAAGCGGCCGTGCAATTGCCGTCTCTTCGCGATTGACGCGCCATTGTCGAGCAGAGGCTCTTGTGATGCGCTGACAGGCTCGAGAAGTGCGAGAAGCAGCGCCGACACGACCGAAGCACGCCAGCAGAACATAATGTATGCCAATCGTCTTGCGAGCCTCACATGCAGAAGATCAACCGACCAAGTCCTCAATCTCCAAATGTGACAAAATTGCTGGCTGCAACGGGCGCCGTCGACGTCACGTCAACCGTGCAAAAAGCTGGGGTAGGGATGGGCAGGGTCGCAGAAAATGGAAAATATACAGCCTCGTGCTCGACTGCCCTTTTGTTGCAAATCAAAGAAGGCTGTCCTGTCTCCAAAAGGTGGAGAGAACGGTGCTTGTATGCTGGAAACGGAGGCAGTCGTTTTCGTGATACGTGATCTATTCTCTAGCCCATCAAGGTACTGTGAACAATCTCCACCCAATCAGACGACGAAGCCTGCCCACGAGACTCCGCAAGTCATAAAATTTATCCATCATGCGTCTGAGTGGTCGTCCTCATGACACAACCTCAAAGGTCTGCTGTTCTGTCCTCGCTCTCCTTGATCCACTTGTCGAGCTGCTGCCTGTTTCGTACACGAAGTCCGACCTTGAAAGGCTTTGGTTCCATCTGCAAGGCTGTCAGTTTCCAATATCAAAATCGACGTGGGAGCAAACTTACGGTAAGACTAGTGGGAAGAGCGTTTGCGCCCATCGCATCGAGAATAGGCTTGTCTCTAGCATCTCTTGGTGCCACAAATTGGAATGCTGTGATGAGCCTCAAGAATGCGGTATACAGCTCACGGTTACCCAAATGGCTGCCTGCACACATTCGGCTGCCGGCTCCGTAACCAAAGTGTTCAATTCCCGACATTTCCTTGTCCAGGTATCGTTCAGGCTCAAACTTGAGCGGATCCTTGAAATGCGACTCGTCGTAGTTGGCTGCGTACGCGTTCATGTAGAATGTAGTGCCAGAAGGAATCACGGCACCTTGCCATTCGATATCCTTGATGCTTACTCGCGGCAAGCAGATCGGGATGACTGACCAGAAACGTAGAGTCTCCTTGACAAGAGCTGTGATGTACGGGACCTTTTCTTCGCTCAGGCATTTCTCCCAAGCATCGCCATTCGGATAAACCTTGTTGATCTCATCAAGAGCTGTTTGCTGGATTTTTTGTCCGTGCTCGGACGACAAATATGCCAAACACATGACCAGGTTGCCTGGAACAGTATCCAACCCGGCGCTCACCATGGTCAGGCAGATGGACATGATCTCGGCATCGTTCAGCTTCGCCTCCGGATCCTTGAGGATGTTGCCAGTAATGCATGGTCTGTCGGTGCCAGCCTGGATCTTCTCCTTTAGCATGTTTAGCAACTTGGTCATGTAGGCTGTTCTACGTTTCTTGTACTCGAGTGGCTTCAGGTTGTTCGATGGCCACAATCGCATTAGTGGGATGTAATCCTGCCAGTTGTTGGATGTGGATCTGAAGTTGCTGATCTCGCGCTCCACATGGGTAATCTCTTTCAGCATCTCATTGTCGATGCTGCCTTCAATCTTGATGCCATAGTTGAGAGTAAGACTCGTGCTCAAGGCGTATCGCTGGAAGTAAGGATTGGGGTCAATGTCGATAGTGCCGTCCTTGGAATCTGCAAGCATTTCCTTGATGGATCTTGTGGCTTCGAAGTCGATAAATGGCATGTAGCTTTGCACTGCTGGACGATTGAGAGCTGTTGCTGCTGCCTTTCTTCGCTCCTTGCAGCTGGGATCCCACGGGGAGGTGCCGATGGTGAATCCACTAGAGGATGAGACCACGGTATGGAAAGTGTGTAGGGTAGGTCGAGAGATCAATGCTGACTGGTTTGTGACCCAAAGGTGCTTGACCGAGTCGAATGTGTTGGCGAACACGATACGCTGTTGCGAGTCTTAGCATGCTTTCGTCTGGGCACTTCACCTCCAATGTGCTTACTTTNNGTTACCAAGACGAGTTTGAAACACGGGTCCATACTGCTTCGCCCACTTCTGAGCAACGAGAGCATGATCGGTACCCAACTGGAGCAGATTGCCAAAGAGAGGAACACCAGGGATCTCTGGCAGATTCTTGATCTTTGGGATATCAGACGAGTTAAGGTATCGAACAACAAAAAATATGACAAGAGCAGCTACACCAAGTACTATCGGCGAGGCCATGATGAAGAATGAGAAAGTGCTAGAAAATTGCTTGGAACGAATGAGACCAACTTTTGGCTGCTTCTTACCAAGTCTTATACTCTGACTGGCTCAGCAGAGACCAAGCTCTCCACGCCCCGCACCCTCCCTGTGGAACGTTTAAAGCCAGTTGTCTGGTGGTCACTAGCCTCTTGTCGCAGCCAGAAACTATCCGCAGCGGTCGTGTTCCCCGCCCTTGTCCTGGTATGGAATTAAGGTAATTCGGATGTCGAGCCGCTGTGCGGAACATATCCGCACTCAAACTTCCGCACGACATCCTAGGTTTGTTACGTACTAGAAATGCAAGAACACAAGGAGCTTTGCTTCCGTACTGCGATCAAAAAGAAGTTCTCGATTTTATGTCCTGTTTCGGCCAGGATGTCAATTTTTCTGAAGAATCGGCGCGAATGCTGAACAAAGACCATGCATATGACTCAAAGCAGAAGCTTTATGATCAAAGACTCTCCATCAGTGGCATGAGCACACGATATCAAGTTTGTTTGCAAATCGTTATTCGCTGGAGAATAGACGGATATATACATCTACGACAAGTTTCAAGTGTGCTCCAATAAGATGTCGATAGAACGCCCAGCAGTACCTAGTACCGTAACAAGATCAGGAGCTTGGTGTTATACACGCACAAGTTTCCTGTCGTTCATCCCTGAGCTGACTACGACGCTACAATCCTCGGATAGCTAGATCTTGACAGCGGGGACAATCTTGCCCTTACAGTCTCCAAAGCCAACTCTGGAACCATCTTCACCCACGCAGACTCCGCTGATGGTGACTTCGTCACCGTCCTCTAAAAAANNGACGCGCTGCTCGCCACCTTCCAGCTTGATGACTGATTTGCTATTTTTATTTTGCTCCAGAAGACTACCGCGCTCAGATGCTTCCTGCCCTGAGATGGTACCAGATCCAAGCATGTCTCCAATACGCATGGGACACCCGGTAATGGAATGGTGAGTCAGCATCTGGTTGAAAGAAAACAAGAGATTCTTTCCCGATGTGCGAGAGATTGTAGTGGTGGCACCCGAAGAAGCTGAGATCATATGTGGTTAGCATGCTGGTCGATCCCATAGTCGAGATATTCTCTTACTTTTGAGGACAACTTCCAGCTTGATGTCGTACACATTCTTCTTATTTTTCTCTTTGAGATAGTCAAGAACTTCCACGTCACTGTCCAGGCCGGTGGTTCGATACGGTTCGAGCGCATCACTCAAGACAATCCAAGGGCTAATAGAGGATGCAAAGTTCTTTGAAGTAAAGGGCCCCAGAGGCACATATTCCCAGGCCTGGATATCACGAGCAGACCAATCGTTGAGCAGAACGACACCAAAGATGTAATCTTCAGCCTCATCTATAGGGATTGGTTCACCCATGTTGTTGTTCTTGCATATGAAGGCACCGAGCTCAAGCTCCATATCAAGTTTTCTGCAAGCAGAAAGTATGGGCTTCTTGATCTCGGCCGTAGGGTCCCCTAGTATTTGTCCAAGGGGCCGACGGACGGAAGTTCCGGACACGACGATACTCGAGGCTCTCCCGTGATATCCTACTGGGAGGTGTTTGTAGTTCGGCTGTAGAGCATTCGCTGCTCCGCGGAAAAGCTCGCCTACAGTAAAGGCATGATTCAAGCCAGCGTAAAAGTCAGTATAATCTCCTATCTGCATGGGCACATGATTCTGAACGTCTTTCAGAGGAACAAGACAAGCTTCCTGAACTGATGTGTTGTTCTTCAGGACATCTGGGAAGGGNGTCGATTCCAAGAAGATCGATTGGAGGTATTTCCTGACGGCTGTGTGCATTGGTCTCCCCAGTCCGGCAAATGCATTCAAGGTGGTATCAGAAAAGACATGTTGATGTGGTTGGATCAAAGACAGAGCCGAGAAGCCATTGTGAGAGGCGAAGAGGTCAAGATCTAGAGCATACTCTCCGATAGCGATAGCAGGTCGGGGTGTAGGTCTGTTCTGAGTGCTGATGATGCCAAATGGGATGTTTGCCAATGAGAAGTGGCAGTCGGCAGCAATGGACAGCCAGCTCTTGAGAGACATGATGATAGAAGTGACAAGATGACAACGCAAGACCAAGATGAGTCTTCAAGAATGTCTGCAACAGTGTCTTCCTGGTTGAATCTTGTGCGTAGAACAGTTGACGCAAGTCTGTGGTGGTGATGGTGCGGAAATCATCCGTTGTTCTCCAGCTTCAGATATTATTCTCGTATCCAAAAGTCGGGATAAACAGCTACCCCTCAACAGCGCGCCGGTTCCGCGTGGGACCAAATTATCATGTCGTAGCTCCCGATACGCCGCGCATTACGATATATAATATCACTGGATAGCGTTCAACTGTCATGCTAGACAGTACTTGGCTCGACTTCCCACAAAGCACTCGAGCTGACCGCGGTACACCAGTCTTCAAGATGCCAACCACGCAATTCAACGTCAAAGAAAAGTATCGGTACCAGAATGGCTTTGGCAGCTACCATGAGTAAGATACTTGCGTCGACGTGCATGGAGTATGACGCTGATTCCTTCAGGACCGAGGCAGTAGAGGTGCGCTGCCCGTAGGAACAAACTCGCCACAAAAGCCACCGTATGGACTCTACGCCGAGAAGCTGTCAGGCACAGCATTCACTGCTCCAAGGCATGAGAACCAGCAGACTTGGCTGTACAGGATACTGCCAGCATCGGCTCATTCGAACTTCGAACCACGAGAACACGCTACATTCAACACAAATCCAGAAAACCAACCAGGACAGAAGATCCACCAGATCCCCAACCAGCTCAGATGGGACCCCTTCGACCTCGACGAAACGGTGGACTGGATCCACGGTCTTCATTTGGTCGCGGGAGCTGGTGATCCAAGCATGAAAACAGGAGTTGGAATCTACATATTTGCAGCTGGAAA